CACCCGATTAAGTTAAACGCTACTACATTGTGTTAACTTTTTTCGGCCACAGCACGAGAGGAAAAATCTCATCTTCCAGTAAATTTGGAGATTGTTAATATTTTTTCTCCTTCTTCCTTCGTCGGCGTGTTTTGCGTTCATCCACTTCTTTATTACTTGTAGGAACTGTTACTGGTTTCCGTTTCCCCTTGCTCGAAAAAAAGAACTTGCACTCTATTCTAATTTTCCACCTGGAACATTTTTTCTCGCTCTCATGTCCCTCTCACCCCAGCTCGTAAAGTCTCGCGTAAATTGTAAATTATTAATATTTGCCTTCCGAACCCCAAACTGCGCAAATAGAGCAGCACAGCAGTATTTTTAATAATCTCCAACTGGTACAACTGGAAATTAATTCTAGCCATGAAGGATATATCTGTTTTCTGTAGCCAATTTCCTAATGAATTCAGCGAAAAAAAAAATCGAAAGACGAAACCATTCCTTCCAAGAACTGCGGCAGGGAAGGGAAGCCACCAAATCCGCGAGTAAAATATTTATTCAGATTAGGAACACATTCCTCGCGCTTCAGCTTTCGTCAGAAGAGCTAAACAAAGTAAAGAAACAAGACAAAACAAAAAAGAACGGAAGATCCTTGTTACCCCGTTTTCCTCGCCCAAAGGCAGATGACGGGGCGGGTTGGTAATGCCACTGTCCGGTTGAGATTCTTCAACCCCTTTCGAGAGCATTTGGGCCGGTCGGTGGACGAGAAAAAACCAGGAGCGGAAAGGGGCAATAAAATTAATTAAGGATTAATTAAATGACTGAGTTCAAAATCAAGAGCGAACGGTCGAAATTGGCGCGACTTTCGAGTTTCGACTCTGTCTCTCGCACTCTTCAGTCTTTGGCGGAGCGTGAGATTCTAATTAAACGTGTTGTTAATAAATTTTACGCTTATTTAAAAGTGGATGTTTCGCTCGGATTGGCATCAGGCTGAAGACTTCGCTGGGTGGGTTGAGGATTTTTGGGTTGGAAGTTTAGAGAATTTTCTGAGCCGATGTGGTGGGTATGACGATGGATTTAAAGTTGCTAATAGATTCTTATCTGATGGTTATTGGCTAAGTTTGGACAGAAATTACGATAGTGTAAATAATTAACCTAGTAGAATCACGTTGCTTTCACTCACTTTGTTGGGGCCTTTTCTATCCAACCCACAACATCAAAAGGGGGTAAAAGCCTCTGGTTGAACATATATTTTGCCCGGTGGCGAAAATGGGGTCCATCCAATATCCTGTCCTTCATGATGTCTTACGGGAATGTTATGGCCATCGTTGGTTGCACAAAACACGGGTTTTACATTACACTGACACTTCACAATAAAACTAAACTACTTTATTTAACGCACAACGTATTTACGTTTATACATTGATATTGGTGCCCAAGTTGGGCCCTAGGATCCGTTTATCATACCAGGCAGATTGCAACTATTTATCTAATTTCCTACATGAATATTTCCTGCATCTACCCGATCACCCCGTATGAATCATGACGCCACCGATCTTTCCAAACCTATCGATGATGTGTATCTTCTCTTGTTGTCCGTCGCAGAGAGTAGTGAGTTTGTCTACCCAGGGTTGTATCCTTGGGTGGGTGGTATTAACGCTGTTCCCAAACACACTTTACAAAACGAAACTTTAACGCGAACAAAACGAAACACTTCCACTGTAATCTCCGGTTCGGACGAAAGTGAAGCGAAACCGTGACCCTCAGATTAGGGAAGGTGACCTCGGCCGAACTTAACGGAAGTTCGATTTTCCCGCGAACTTCTTCGAACTAGATCGGCAATGGGAGAGATTATTCCGATCGCTGGTCCTTCGTCCAAAGCCAGGTGTAGCCACAACTCTCTCTTTTCCCAACTTTCCGAAGATTTTAATGAACTTGGCCTTGGAAGAAATTGCACAAGGTTGACTGGCTTTACTCACGAGGCATTCTATTTTTATAGTAGATCGACCAGTGTCGTTTCGCTACTGGCATAGTTTTTGGCGTATGGATTAGATCTATTTCATCCTTTCGTTGTGTACTGGAGAACACCACTACTCACCACGCGGTGATTAAATACATACCGTTTGGTGAGACCGGATGGAATTCAAATTTGAAATCTGTGTTAGGGAAAGCACTTTTCGCAGGCAATCGGTGATTCCTTTAAATTTGTCGAACATCTTAACGGAATCTCTTTATGAAGAGCTTTGAGTGGGTTGGTTTATTTCCTTTAAATAATAATAATTGCTTATGTTTTGACAGATACGCGTATTTCGTCTATTACTTGCAGACTTCATCAGTGCTAAGTACTCAACACCACTGAAGAATCCATCTTTTATCAACGAGTTATATAGTAATCAACAGGTACTGATAATTTTGAATTATCATAGCATCAGTTGCACATTCGTTCAATTTTCAATGGTTACATTTTGAAAAAAAAATGTTAAACGTTAATTGATGCGCAGAAATATTTCTGATCGATTGGTGATAAAATTATTGAAATTGGTCCAGGAGCAGCTGAGTTATTAACGTTCAAAGTCTTTCATTATTTCGTTACATGTTCCATTTTCGGTTTTCACAAAGTGTACCCCCATATATAAATCACAGACGTACTCCTACGTCAAAACTTTAAACCTTACCTTGTAATAAGTTAAGGTTCAATTTACTTTGATGCTTTTTGGAAAATTTCAAAAGCAGTTTTTTTTTTACGCATTATTTCAGATTGCAAAAAGCTCGCACTATTCGATTCCTCTTGATATTTTACACGAAATGGCGCGAGCTTTTTGCAATCTAAAATAATGTGCCGAAAATAACTGCGTTTGAATTTTTTAAAAATGCATCAAAGTAAATTGAACCTTAATAAAAGAAATAGTTTCACGCAAAATCGTGTTCTGTTTTTCAATGTACGGGCAGGCTTCCAAATAGTACTGCCTTCTCGCGACAGTTGGTTTATACCTGAATCGACTGTTGCTTTGTGTGCTTTACTACCGCTTGCTACCGTACGTTCGGATCTGAATCCGAAGTGTATTGGCAACAGCGCACGCACGAACGAATGAAAGCTGTATTAGAACAGTCGCATATATACCTGCTTTGTTAAAATCATCGTGCTTGGACTGTAGTGAACCAAATGGGCTGTATGTATACATTTCTTTATGACCAGGTTTTCAATGTTTCTGTCGCCACGACAGCCTTCACAAACCGACGACATCCCTCAGCTTACCCAAGTCGGCTGTCACGAAAAGGCTGTTACGAGATATTATATACAATTGATATACGGCAGTGGAGTATGGAAGAAACCCAGATTTGGTACAGTCACTGCTACGCCAGCTTTGCTGACACCGTCGTGCTTTAAACGTAGTGAGCCGAATGGGCTGTTTCCATTGTATTATGTCTACTATTTCGTTGATTCTGTCGCTGGGACAGCCTTCACTACCCAAGTCGGCTGTTACGAGAAGGCTGTCACGAGATTAGCTAGGTGACTAGGCCTATAGCTGTGCTAGCGAGCGACAACTACGAATGACTCGTGTTTCCCAATTCCTACTGGGTAGGAAAATACATTTTTTGGATGGAAACGCGCATTCTATTCTGTTTTTGGCTTTCCATTTTGGAGATCTGTAATGCCAGGCGCCCACTGGTGTTGCGCCGATGTGCATCACACAACTGTGAAAACATCATGTCGAAATAGTGTGACGTGTGGCGAACGTCAACATGATGACAGCTAGCAGATACCACACCTCCGCCACATCAGTGAGCGCGTGGCTAAAGGCAGGGTGTCCGCTGTTTTTTTTTTTTTTTTTTTCTTTATTTTTGTGATTTTTAGCCGTAGGCTAGTTCATCACATTTGATAATCGAGGGTCAGGCTTAGGGCCTGCCTCGAAAGAAAGCGTTTCAGTCTATCATTACATAACGTACAACTGGCTCTGATTACCCACCAAAAGGGACAGACAACATTTTAAAAAACTTAATGTAAAGTGGGAGTTACAACGGGACTGTGGTGAGGAATGGATGCGCGAACAAGGTAGAGCTCCACCGTAAGAGACAGTGCCCCAGTCCGGCAGAGATACCCCGACGGCAGGAAAATAGGAAGGTGAAAGAACACGGACAGCGCAGCCCACGACGAGAGGGCTAGATTTGGTTGTATAGGTGAGCGTCCTTCAAGAATGCAATCAGCGCAGTCAACGTCGAGGGGTCGTTGCCAAGTAGCTCCCTGATGCTCTCTGGGAGTCGGTGTTGTTCGCGTAGCCTCTGAAACTCTGGGCAGACACACAGCACGTGTTCCACCGAGGCAGGGATGCTGCAGATTGGACAAACCTTGTGGAAGGGTGTCCCACCAAAATTGTGGGAAATCCTCGCATGGCCGGTCCGGAGTCTTGAGATAATCCGCTGGTCTTTGTACTTGTGGCTGTCTTGCCAAGGTCGTACGGTTTCTTTGATTTTTCTCAGGAGGGTGGTGCGTGACTGAAACCATTCCTCCTGCCAGGCTTCCATGATGATAATCGCAATCCAACGCCTGACGTCTAGGAGTGGTACGTTCCTGGTGAAGCGGGGTCCGGATGGACCAGATCCCGCCAGCCTGTCCGCTGCCTCGTTTCCAGGAACACCGCAGTGCCCGGGAATCCACGTAAAAATCCGCTGTTGTGGCGGCGGTGTGGCATCTGCTAGAATGTCAAAACGACATGCCGACGTTCACCTTACGCCACACAAGATCAACATGATGTTCTGATATGTTGTGCTATCATAGAATAGGCGCCCAGAAGGATCTAGGCACTTTAGAGTAAAATCAAAAAAGGCGTTTGTTCAGAATGCCAGAATAAGAGTTTTGGCCAAGTTTGGCTCAAATCGGTGGCATCGATCACAGGTGGTGTACCTACTTGAGCCGGAATAACCCATGTGCAACTTTAATTTCACTAACACACAAAAGAAATTTTTTTCCATCTACATACACCCTTGGTACTCAAGCGGCAAAAATAAAAAATAAATAAACTTACTCTTGTTTCCTCCTTCTCCTCCAAAGTTAGAACAGATGATGAGATATAATTAAACCTGGGATCGACTAACAAAGCAGCTTTAAAGGGCAAATTTTGTTGAAGTTGCTGTAGTCTTGTTTGCAACGATGTTGCTAGAGATTTGGCCAATTCATTCATAGGCTGCTGCTTAACTTCCATCATGCAACGAAGCCAGTTGATGTAGAAATCTCCCAAAGACATGTGTTTTGCCTGCATCTCTTTTGTGGAAACATAAACTGGTTGCAACGCGTTTTTATAATCATGAATGTAATCCCAATGCTCCGACAGATCTTGAGTAGAATATAAAATATTATAAAAATATGTGAAATAATTTTGACTATATGTCAAACCAGTTAACTTACCTAGCTCCTTAAACTGCTTCCCTAGATCTCTGTAAAACTCCTCGTTATCGTAAAACTTTAAAATCATTTCGTAAATTCCTCCCCATCTTGTTTTGGAAAACAATGGTGGGAGAGGAATATTTTTCAGATCGAAAGAAGGTTTATAGGCTGTTTTCCGGCAATTTTTGGCCACGGTGGTTATTCTGCGGATATGGTTATCAGTGTGATTGACGACGTCCGTCACTGCCAATTGCAAAGTATGCACGGCGCATCGTACAAGGCTGACTTTAGTTGACAACTCATTGATTATATCATTTAACAGCTCATCATTATCTTCGTAATTATCATCCTCATCGTCTAACATCAGTTTTTCAGCACTTATGACTTGTACGTACTTGTCAAGTTCTCTGACGGCCGCTAGCATGTTCGCACCGTTATCGCACGTCACCGTAAAAACCTGATCGAGCGCGATGTTGAATTCTCTCAGAACTTCTTCTATTTTTTGTTTAATGAACTTGGCAGTCTGTCGCTCGTTCAATTCAAGCATTGCTGTTGAAAAGAGAACAGTTTAAAAGATGAATCCTTAACTTTTTGCAGTTACGTTACAGTTGAATTTCTTATAAGCCTGCATCTAGTTTGATTCATAACTCCAGCGAGACTAAGCAAACCATTATAAAGATTAATCAAAGTTTGCTGGCACTCATTTGCTACAAAAATATTTTTCGAAATTATTAAATCATTAAACATTATGTTTTGTAGTATAGATTGTAAATTAATTGTTTGTAATGAGTACCTTCATAAAAAATACCATAAACATATGTTAACCCATATGATAGAACTATTCCATAAATGGTTTTGATGATACCCGGAACACGTCGTTAAGCAAAATAACTATAACAATTTTATTAGGGTAATCATTAAACATTTTAATAAAATTTTACAATTTGGAATATTTTAAGTTTTTTTTATTATAGCGTGTAAACGCCAATTCTGATCGAAATATCATTGAAAACTGTGGCTGTGTTAGGGTTATTATCATTTTCTTTAAAATAATATGATTAATTTCGTTAGAAGCTGAGATTTTTATTTATTTGCAATCACATAAATGTTCTTTACAATTTGCAACCATTTCATTGAAAGATGGAAAATATGTTTATGTTATAACTGTCTATTTTCTTTAGAGCATGTAATTATTTAAAATAATTTTAATTTATTTGAACTTTGTCCACAGGTAGAGTTTATGGTTTATTAGTTTATGAACGAAACAGAAAAATAAAAATAAAATATAGTCGTTAATTTTCAGAAAAATTTTCGTTGAAGCTTCCGGATTTTCCCAGATATCAGAACGAGGGAAAAGCAACTAGTGAAAAAAACGCATGAACGATGGATGCCAACAAAAGTATTTCAGTTAAGCGAACTCAAATTTGTGTAGTTGATTTACCTAGAATTGGTTATTTATTCTTAGCAATTGAATCTTAGAAAAAAATTGACGATATGAATTGAAATCCATTTTACGGAGTAACGATCATGTGTTCAATTTTTTTTGTATAACATGAATTTTTATTATTTTTAATAGGTTTATGAGTCATGGATTTATGAATACTTTTATACGAAGTCCAGAAAAATCAAAGAAGTTAAACTAAAATTTTGCAATCAAAGATTTCACTAATCGTCCCTTCTTCCAGTGTTTTTTGTTGTTTTTTTGTCGAAAACATTTTTCAGATTATATGTTTTCAGGACCGTTGACGAGCTCTCAACACTCACGGTTTATGAACAGCTCCTAATAAATTGAACATCCTCATTTTTCCAATCAGGCTCTAACGGATTTAATGCAATAAGAAATAATTTAAATAATCAAACATACCGAGAGTGCGGATGACTACTCCTTGACCGTCATAGAACTGTGCGTTAATGCCTAATACGTGGCGGCCATGACGGGAGGCTGAATCGATTTTCAAACACAGTAGTTTTGCTTTCACTTCCTCGCTGATCTTCTTCTTAATATGCTCTGAACATACGTTTAAGTGCATGATCATTTTTGCGGAATTGAGAGTCATTCCTAACGAGTCGCAAATGGAATCTAACAACATCTTAAAGCCTTTTGACTCTATTTTGCTGACGGGCAAATGTTCAACTCCCTTCATCCGCACCACTGCTTCCACTACCGTTTGTTGATCGATCGCAATCCCAACTTTCGCTACTCGCCGTTTTTTTATTAGAGCACTCTGTCCTTCTTCATCCTTAAACAAACCGCGCGCACGTGCGAGCTGCGCATGCTCCGACCTTAGATGTCGAATAAAATTTCCACAATCTAACCTTTGCGTCTTCTGCTTGTAGCGACACTCGGAATGTTCATCGATTTTACAAATCAAAAAACCGTTCTCAAGTTCCATACAACCCTCCGCGATGCTTCTGAATGACCTCTTTTTTCCACGCGTGTCATCTTCACCTGCGCTTCTATACACGCCACTTTCACGCGCGACATTTTCTCCTACATCACTTCGATCCGCACCACTTTCAACTCTGTGCGGATCTGATCCCACATTACCGCCATCACTTAGATTCACTTCACACAGATTGGCCGCGTAACGACCCGCGTCAACCTCATTAACTTCATTCAAGTCCATTTCGGAAGTTGCTGATAAATTCGTCGAAAATTAGGTATAGAAAAAAAAAACCGTACGCACTCACCGAAGAACAAGCTTAATCTGCTGCTAGAGACCGCGCTTAGTTGACGAATGGAGAAAAGGAATGAAAATTTGGCAATGGACAGCACTCATCAATAACCGAATCAACTTCGGTGTTGCACTGGCAGAAGTTATACGAAGAACCACGACACGAGTAACACGACTAACACTAACATCATTAACGACAGCAGCAACGAATCAGCAGTATGACGAAGTGTATGTCAATCCTACGAAGAACGTAATGATTGAGAAACCGAGGTTGTCGTTGACGAAAGAATAATATATTATGAAAAATAGCAAGCTGTCGCGTACAGTACAAGACGGCAACGTTGCATGTCGTATGACAGCCTAACTATGGGCTGTCATGGATAGCTCACTCAGAAGGCTGTTAAGGTGATACGGCACGTCATCCAACAATGGCTGTCCCTACAATCATTAAATAAACGTGTTTTGGTATGCGTACGAAAGACATCTTCCTACAAAACAGTAAATTACTAATTACATACCTTAAAAAATGGGCCTGAATTGTATGAATAAGATCTGGATACATATTTTGATACTTTTCCACCAAAATATTGCCAATTCCTTCACGCATTGGTAATATTTGCATTAAAATGTACGATCAGTCGATTTTGTTCTGCCCAGGGCATCAAATTTCAATAACTGTTTTCACTAGTTTTCACTTCTCAGAACCACACTAAAAACAATTACGACACGTGCTTCTACAAGCACTTTCAAGTTAATTAACTTTTAAAGACGATATTAGCTTAAATAATATCATTTGCATCGTTAAAAATGCGAGCCGCGAATAATTTTGCAAGCTGAAACTGTTTTGTTTACCTTTTTTCTACACACCGCATTGCGAAGGTGTGTGTACGAATCATATATCATCGTATCCAGTGTTGTCGATTTAATTGAATCAACTTGTGTAAAAAAAAGTAAAGGGTTGTGTCCTAGACACGACCGCAGTATGACGTAGAACCACACAAAATTGATGTTTTTCATGCATTTTTGACTATTATACTTTATCTTAAAATTTTCAAGTATTTCAATGTTTCGGTTATGGTTGACTCAAAACAATTTACACATTTTTCTTGACAAATATCCATGTGAAATTCTACATGATTTTCATTTGACCACACATAAACAGAATCCACTCAGAAGTACACATGAAATTTACACGCAAATGAATAGTATGTGTGGTCACGCATGGTTTTTATATGTACATATTGTAAGTATGTGGCCGACACATAGATATTGATTTGTTAGGAGCGGTATTTGAGGGGTGGGGGAGGGGGTTTAGGAAAGGTTGTTGATGAGTGGTGGTGGGGGGTTAGGAGAGGTTGTTGAGGGAGGGGAGAGATTGTTGTGAAGGGGGGAGGGGGAGAGATTGTTGTGAAGGGGGAGGGGGAGAGGTTGTTGTGAAAGGGGGAGGGGGTTTACATCATTATTGTGGTCACGCCGTGATCCACCTTTAGCCGCTGATTTGGTCCTGCTTACTGCAGGACCAAGCAGTGATGCCACATTTTTCGAATTTAGATCTGTATTTTCATCGCAAAAAATCTTTTTAAAAATCTTGCTCACAAAAATCTGTATAATTTCCGTTTTATGGTCTCAGTGCGGATTTACGTAAATCTCCATTGAGCAAATTCATAGTTCAAAATAGTTCAGTTTGTTCTAAGTTTAGAATCATAAAAAATTACTAAAGTTTCATTGGCATAGCTAATGGGGGTGACAAGGGGGCCAGGCCTCTTCAGAAATACAAGTGCGGCAAACTTTATAGAAGTTTTGCGAATTTCGTAGCATTTTAATGAAGTTTGCTTTCTAAAGAATTTGTCTATTTTTAAAATCTTGAAATCCCACAATCTTGATGTGTTTTGTATCTCTTCTACAGTGAAAATTTTCGTAATGAATTACCCAAGGGAAATGTCGGCTTCGGCAATACCTTAACGTATTATCGTCAGCAGGGTAAACAAAGTTCTAGAGCACTCAAATTTGGCCAATAGATGCTCTAAAACACAATGTATCCACATGCCAAAATTAAGCTCTCAAAGACCTTGTTTACCCCCCTGACGAAGTTAAGGTATTGCTGAAGCAAACATTTCCCCTATCAAAAATCCCTAGAATTTGATTTTGTTTTTGTCTGAGGTTACGAAAACCTTTATCTGGACATTGGACATAACACAGAACTTTTACTGGAAGTTTAGTCGAATGGCATGCAATAATCTTTATTTCTATAAGTATGCTTTTCAATTATAAAAATATCAAGTTGACTCTTCGACTCACAAACTTTAATCAACCCCTTGGTTGGTTTTCTAAAATGGCTTGTTTATCGATTTGACGAAAAATATATTTAATTAACCTTCATATCTGTAACCATGTGATATGATTAATTAAACAAATAGAAAGAGAAACTAAAATCCCTTATAACGAGACATCAGAACATCTGAACATCATAAGTCCATTCGAAAGATTCCAAGGCAATTCGCAGCTAAAATAATAATATTCATTTAGTGAAAAATCGATTTGGATTTGATGATCAGATTGAATTCAAGTTGCTTAGAAGGGAAAAAATAATTATTTATCGTAAATAATAAATATAAAAAAAAATATATGAAATTTATTTATACATTTATTTGAAAAATCTGAAAAATCTGTATATTTTTCAAAAATCTGTAATCTGCATATACAGATATCTGTATCAAAATATTGAAAAAAAAGTTGTATCATTACAGATAAATCTGTATATGTGGCATCACTGGGACCAAGTGCCACGCCGTCCGAAGCGAAAATGAGCAAAAGCATGACAGCAGCGCTGTTTTATATCTTTTCCGGTTCAGAACCTGATAGGATTTTCCGC